AGTATATCTGCCTGAAGACATTTAAATTAACTCAATCAGATTATTTACAGTAAGCTGAGATCAGGCCTCCGAAGAGGATTCATGTTTTGACTAAAGGACAGAATGTCAGGCAGAAACATGTGGAGGTCATTTTTATGTACAAACTACTACTACTACTACTACTACTACTACTACTATTACTACTAGAAGGTAAAGCCATTGAATGAGGCCAATTTTCTAAATTTGCTCCAATGCACTGGGGTGGAGATCTTTCTGACAGTGTTAAATAAACTAAAATAGTAAGCTAGGCTATAGCTACACAACAAAGGTAATAAATCTCAAGAGGAAAATGACTGTCATAGTTACTTTTCTCTCATTGCTAAGACAAAATACCCAACATCCAAAGTTAAATGGGGAAAGGTTTATTTGGCTTACAGTTCACAGAGGTTTCAGTCCATAATTGGCTGGCTCCAAGGCAGGGTGACAAAGGTGCAACAGTTCATGGTACCGGAAGACAGCAAAAGCAACAAGGGTCAGACCTTACACTGTCTTTCTGCCCTTTATATCTTATTCAGACTCTTAGGGCGAGTAGTCTTCACCCTTAACCCTGATGCCCTTGGGCCTGGCCCCACAAGGAATCAATCACACACTCTAGATTCAGGTACCTCTGAAAAGGCAGGAGGCTTTCGGGGACATCTAAACAGAAGACATAACAATGACAATGGATGAAGACATTAACTGCTCCACAGTGCTCCAAATACAGTGGTGCTTTGGATCAAAAACACTTTTGGTTGCAAACAATCTGGTCTGCAAACAGAAGTGTTTAGCAAAGTTTTATTTTTGTTTGCAAATTCTGCATCAGGTGATGGATATGACCATCTTTTCCACATGAACAAAAATTCCAGAATAGTGGAACAAATTAAATGCATGAACCAAGGTAACAATGACAGTGGTCATCACTGCCATAGTGCAGGATTACACTGGACAAAATATTAATATATATGTTTTGTTCTGGACTTCCAAATCATAATCTCAACACTAATTTTTCTTTTGCCCTTTTATGGAAACAAGAGAGTATGCTGTTCACTGGCTACCATATGGGGGAAAAAAAAAATCAAAACGAAAAAGAGCACATATGAATTATCATCTTAATACTTATACCATGGTGGGTGATGGATTCAAGATGCCAATGACTAGAAACTGGACAAAAACTCCAACACACACATACACACACACACACACACACACACACACAAGGATAAATGAACTCTGGCTGTAAAGAAACCCTAATTTATTTTTTTTATTTTTTTATTTTTTTGGTACCAGAGATCGAATTCGGGACCTTGCACTTGCGAGGCAGGCGCGGGAACCACTGAGCTAAATCCCCGGCCCCAAGAAACCCTAATTTAAAAAAAAAAAAAGAAAGAAAGAAACCCTAATTTTGTCCCTCGTTATCAAACAACCCAGCATTATCACTTGTCCATTCAACCAGAAAGGAAAGGAGGTAGGGGCGTATGCCTGAAGGGGGAAAAAAAATCTTCCAAAGGGAGATGAAACAGAATCTAAGTCAAAAATGATACTGTGTTGAGGAAGCTCCCCACCTCCATCCCAGGCTCCTAGGGCAGAGAAGCTCAGCCAGTCCCAGCACCTGGAAGGAAGCTCCTTGCCTCCATCCCAGGCTCCTAGGGCAGAGAAGCTGAGCCGGTCCCAGAACCTAGAAGGAAGCTCCCCCACTGCCATCCCAAGCTCCTAGGGCAGAGAAGGTGAGCCATGTGGGCAACAGAAGCACCCCCTCCCG